GTATATGTCACCAATTCGGGGAATTCCAATTTTGTACGAAATTAGTTGCCGATTTCTTAAGTTATGCCTTTTTTCCGGTTCTATGTTTTCATGCATAGATTTATGAAAGATAGCTCAAAAATAGGTTTTCTGATAGAGCTTTGAATGAGCTACAAGAATCTGTCCTCGGTTTCGAAAAAAGAAATAGTATAGTTGAGAAATCAAAAACATTGAAAAAATCGCGTTTTTTTGAAAGAAATGCTTAAAAAAGTATTTTTACAATTTCTCTGTTATTTTGCAATCAAGTTCAGAACTTTTTTTATACCAAAATGATCAGCAAAAAATTCTCTACAAACCCCCCAAGTTTCATCAAATTCGGAGATGGTCACTGTGAAAACTGGAGCAAGCTGGCGGAATCACCCATCTGTATAGAGTTTGCAACATCATTAGTCACTTCCGACAATAATTCCGTGAAAAAAATGCATCGTCATCACAACAGAATAAGCATAGTTAGTGTCGCAAAATATTGTATGTCTAGCCTGTGTGATGACGAGCATTTTTTCTTTGATTTTTTGTCCAAACATTTCACCAAGCAGACTCGAATACAGAACTGTAAAAAGAAAAATACAAATGTAAATACTCAGCTAGTATAGAAATTGCGGGCCACTTGTGCATTCTTGGAAGGAAGAATGAAGGACTGACATCATGTGTGTCGCTCACTCTTGTTTTTTTATCTCCGACACGAATGCTTCCTTACTTATTCCCTATGGTAGAGAAATCCTATTTCTGGTTGATACTCGACAGGACACGTTCACCTAGGAAATGAACTATATTATTAACATAAAGTCCGATTATATTATTTATCAAATTTTTTCTAGTTCAATTAAAAGAAGCTCTACTTATACGATGTCTAACTATCGGTCGCAAATAAATACGTACCAACAAGGACGGTGAGTCAAAACATTTTAGCGCCTTACTTTAAGGCCGACCACATGTAAAAGCTTTTCACGAAATCCTGAACGTTTATCGTTTCTAAGCACATCGTACGAACCAAAATTGAAGTGAAGTATACAAACTCTTACTGAAGGACGAGAGTCGACGCAGTTATCTTAAGGCATGCAAATATTATTACAAAGTGAATATTTTCTTGAGCACCAGCTTGAGACGGACCATTATTCTAGTAGTGTTATGCACCAAAAATTCGCATCAAGATTTCAATTCTCTCTATCATCTAGAGAACTTATCGATAATTATTTTTCTCCAGCAACCCTATTTTCAAGCATTTCTAAAGTAGTATCATACTTGAAACTTGAATTTAATCATTGAACTACATTTAGAGTATTCAACTATTGAAATATGCAATAAATGAAATTTTCATGTCTAAAGCACTAATTTTTCAGAATTTTCAACACTACTGGGGGACGCATATGTTGCCAAGTTCCCTGGATTGCTTTGAGTCGTGATCTCCATGGGTGGAGCCGGCCCAGGTTTTTGACGATCTGTACCGCTACCAGTCTGGAAGGTTCAGACCAGATCGAACCGGTTGGTTCACCGATAAAGTACCAGTGATGGGATCGGTTCGTGTTTTTTCGGAACCGAACCGAATCGAACCGAACCGAGCGAATTTTTCAAAATTTCAAATTTAACCAAACCGAACCCAGGTCGTGGACGTACGGCGGGAAACGGCCGGAAAGCACAGGAAAGCGCTGGAAAGTGGAAGCAGTATTCCAGTTGGAAGTTACCGGATTTTCTTCCTGTAGATTCCNCTTCCAACTGGAATACTGCTTCCAGTTTCCAGTGCTTTCCCGTGCTTTCCGGCCAGATACGGTGATTTTTCCGCATCTTTCCGGCCGGTTCCTACAGTATCCGTCCTCCGGAATCATTGACCTGGGAACCGAACCGAATCGAATCGACTAAATAATAAAGAAAAAAAATTCATTTCTAGTCCTCTTTTGGAATATTCACTTAGAACAAGTTATTGGAGACATTATTATAACGCTTTCTATAGTCATAAGAGCGACCCAGAATACTGAGCAGCAAATAATGTTAAAAGCATACGTATTTTACTTCTATTTTAGAAATATCTTTCCGTCGAAAAAGCCTGCAGCGTATGTTTAGTGGATATGTATTCATTTTTTTGTTTATCAAGAACGATTCACTAAATTTTCGTTCGTCGTTTAGTACAAAGGACAGAACTTGTTTCAACTAGCAGGCTCTTATTCTTTGAATGTCGTTCTGTGAAAATGTCATATAGCCTAGGTTTTAAGAAATAATATATATATATATATATATATGTTATGCTTTTCCGTCTTTGCTATGTACTTGTCTAGTTTATCATTTCCGAGTGATTGAGCACTTGAAAATAATAGCGTAATGATGATGGAAAGCGCATCTATGCAAAATGAAAGTATAGTTCTACAAGATATAAAGATTTTGTCAAAATTTCAAATTTCATTTTGTTTCTTACAGTCTAAAAAGTAATAACGACTATGACTAGCTAAACTTGAACGGTCTAAAAAGCTCAGAAAAATTATCCATTTTGAAATATTAATTAGATTATTTTTTTTAACTTTATTACTATATTTTAAAGATAATTTTGAAGTTCAAAACAGAGCGAGGTTTAATTAGTTAATTGAAAAGTAATGAAAATTGATGATCAATTAATATTTGTTTGTATATTAGCGCTTGCTACTAAAAGGTCGTCTGTAAAAATCTATGCTGAATGATGAACAAAACTATTGCTCGTTGTAACGATAAATACGGAACCCTGTGGGGTTGATATTTCGTAACGACAAACTGGATAGAGGTGGAGTAGCTTACAGCCACTCTAGGCAATGATGTTTATTGGCTTCTTCACATATCCAGAGTGTAACAACTTCATACATAACACACGTATATATAGGAGAGAGACAGAAGAGAGATATATTAAAACAATGGAAAGAGAACAGAAGGAAGAAGAAGGAGAATCATCGAAGCGTGCCATCAATATCGGCACACTCGTCTCTGAAGATTTATGAAACAGTTGAGTAAGCCATAAAAATGTGCTCTACTTTCGTTATTCGCTTTTAATGAACAGGTTCACAAATATATTCGAATATATATATTTAGATGAAATCGGTTCCCAATATTTGGGACCGAACCGACCGTATTTTTCAAAATTTCGAACCGAACCGGCCCCATCACTGTAAAGTACGACATGAATCATAAAATTTCTTAATTTTTGCTTTTAGTACTTGAGTGAAGATATGCCGAAAAAATAGTGAGTTCTTTTAAACTATGACCGAAGGTAATTGGGGCCAATGAATACGAATATTTAATTAGTCTTCCAAAATTCCATACTAAAATACTTTACTTTTCAAGTCTATTCGAGGAGAGCAGAACGAAAAAATCAAGCATATTATTTCATAAAGCAGATTGTATAGTTGGATTTGTCGACCCCGATTACCTTTGGGCAAGTTCCATGGAATCCTGTTTTTTTCTTCCAAAGGCTTTTTCAGCAGAACGAGACTAAATTTATCCATATTAAGAGTAAGTTACCTTCCATGGTGGATGCCGGTGAAAACCGGCATACCGGGCGGTTCCTTGTATGGCGTTCGCTTTTCGCTAAATCCACACTAGAGAACCGCTCAAGTGTGTATTTAGTTGAATCTTCACAACACGCTCCCCGGATAGTTGCTTCCCGGGCTTCTGCTCCCCAGTGACACTCGCTCCCTAACTGTATTTAACAAAAATGTTAATCAGCACGCGATTAAGATATAAATTTATTTATTTGAGGGTATGGGTGTATCGATATGAGTCTGTCAGCGCAAGTATTGGCAAATGGTTATCCTCCTCACTCACCCACAGCCACACCCACACTCACACAGCCACAAATGAGTAAATTTAACTATCCAGGGAGCATCTTGCCGTTTACCATTCTCGTTACACCCAGACTGAAGAGCTCTCCACATTCTAAAAAAAGGGCTCTTTCCTGAACCCCCCGAAAAAGGTTCCGTAGATTTGGAAAAGCTTGCAAATGCATTCAAATGCTCGAAAAACGATTTTTCAGTTCTACGAAACCTTTAAAAGTTTCGTAGAACCGAAGCATCGTTTTTTGAGGATTTGAATGGATTTGCAAGCTTTTCCAAATCTACGGAACCTTTTTTAGAGTGCCTGTGTGTTTTTCTTTACATCCATATTAGAGAATCCCTGTGCGTGTTTTCCGTCTGCACAAGCTAGAGATCTTTCTATGTGGATTTTCGTTACGTGTCCACCTCAAATCGTACCCAAGGTTAGGGTGGAGTATTTCTGAACTTGAAATTTGAAAGCTTCAATTATTGAATAGCTATGTTTAAGTTTCGAGCGTGAAACATTTGCATTTTTAATAACAACAGTTCAGGTCGAGGTTGGTGGAGTTTGGCACACCTAAGCACTCATATACGTTTCGTTTGTCTCCGCATACGATCGTTTACTACCTTTCTTGATTTACCTGGAATGTTGCTCAGTTTACACTAAAAAGAATAGCAACATACGGAATGATTCTTGAAACGAATTTGAAGCCTTTAAAAAGACTTCTTAAAACCCCAAGATAGTCTCAAATGATTATCAAGAGTCCAGGAAACTTTTTCAAAGGTTCCGTGGATAACCTACGAAAGCAAAAATGGTTCAGAACTCGCTTCAAAGTTCGAAACCTTTTCTAAGTCTCGTAGTGTCTGCGAAACCATTTTTACGATCAGTGAGTGAATTTGAAGCCTTTTATGAGTTTCATACCGAGGACGAAACGTTTTTGGTTCAACGTGGTGCTGCTTGCTTTTTAGTGTAGTTTCTAGACTCAAATGAACCGAACTTTCATGAACATTACTTTTGTTTAAAAGAGTAGGTCCATTGAGTTAATTTAGCTATGTCTCCTTTATATTTACTTGTATTTATGAGTTCACATATAAATCAAATCCATCGCACCACAGAAACGTTCTCTGCACGTAAGACACGCTTTCCGATTCATCATATACATTATGTAAAGTAAATATTCGAAAACCTATAATTTTTATTGCCTCGCGCTTTCATTCGACGTTCCTAGAAACCCTGCACTCATGCCCACGCCCTTATATTTTTAGATACAAAGTTAAATTCTTAGGGGTGATGCAATATTAACTATTACATTCATTTTGATATGCTTTCATGAGTGCTTGAAATCTAACTACACACAGCAGCGAACACTTAGGATAGCCTTACAAAAGCAGATTTAGGATGTTCCCGCCGTATTTTGTAATCTTATGCCAAATATCACTTTCGATACTGTTCAATCACAGATTTGTTTCATTGAAACTGAACTTTTACATTTGATGAACTATGTTCATTGACTCTCAGCGACCAATAGAGGGCAAACATATTTCAAAAGTATGTTGGATACGTAATGTTTTGAATCTAAATGAGATGTGTCTGTTCTTCAAAGAAATATTTTTCCTAAGCTATAATATTCATATTACTTACTATACTGAAAAACAAAATAGCGCCACATTGAACCAAAAACGCTTCGTCCTCGGTACGAAACTCATAAAAGGCTTCGAATTCACTCACTGATCGTAAAAATGGTTTCGCAGACACTACGAGACTTAGAAAAGGTTTCAAATTCGTTTCAAAAATCATTATGTATGCTGCTTTTTTACAGTGTAGACTGATGGGATAGAAAAATCCATGTAGATACATGAGCAAAAAAACATCGATTAACTAAGTTAATAGATGAATGCACGAAATAGCTTGTCATTCAACAAGACGAGTTTCATAAAACCGACATTTTCTCCTAAAATAGAAATTGATTTTTATATTTATAAACAAAAAAAGACGATTCTCAATTCAGTACAGATTTTTAATGAATTTCCATTTATATTATCAGTGTTATTGTTTTTTTTAGCAATCTTCTCAGATTGCTGGATCGTTCAATTGTTGTAACTATAGTTCTATTGCATTTATTCGTTGATACTATTTTTAGAATTGTTTTTGAATTGTTAACCGAGGATATCACCGTAAAAGAAATAGTCCATCAGTGTTTCTTTCTCTCACTTATGAGACATTTTTTCACGTGGTTTATTTGAGAAAAATATAAGAAACAATTGAAATGATTTCAAAGAAATGAAAAATCAATTCGAAATGCATTTGATGAACAAAGAGGATGATACTGTTTTCTGGTGGAATTTTCTATTCTCTGCAGAATTTTCGTTTTTAGATCATTTAATCTATGAGAATAAACAGAAGAATCGTTTACATCTCAAGCGAAGCTCACAAATCTATAACAAATGTAATGAGAAGAAGATATTTTTCTATACCAGTGGACTTTTTTTTATCATATCCAGAGATTTTTTCATACAAACTGATTGATTCATATACAGATAAATTAGATTTGAATAGATCTTACTAAATTCGAAACGAATATCATACGCACAACGAACCGCTTGACACTTCTCTTTTATGAGAGAAAATGTTTTTCAATGATGCTCCCTATGATGTATGCTAGCAGTAATGTGAGTTAGAAGGCATACATAACTCCTACAGATCTAATTCCATGCTGTTTTTTTTGTCTATGTTTTTATTGAAGCATATAACCAATCATTGATGCAATAATAGGAACCTTTTTGAAGATTAGGTATCCGCCAAAGAAATCATGAACAGTTTTACCTTAGCAATTGCTCACATTATGAAAGTAGCCGTTTTTTTACATTTCTATTGTTCTTGTATCTTCTAATAACCCAGTGATTATGAATACATTCATCTTACTGATAATTAGAATGGTCTTCTAAAAAATAACTCTATTATAATCAATTGAAAACCGAAAGGTTCGTATAAGTTTAGAAAAGTATTTGTTCAAGATATTAAAGTTCCAGTAAAGTCCACTTAGTTGACGGAAAGATCTACTGAGTGTTAGGAATGTTGGGTATTGTATCAGTGAGATAAATTTGAGTTTTCGCTTTAGTATTAAAGTCCATCTATTCACTAGCAAACATTATATAAATTGGATATTTTCTGGATTGTGACAGCTCTCATTTCACGATAGTCTGTCATAATCGGTCAAATGGTAAACCATCGATGCATACGTACTGTACCTAAAATGTTTCTTGGAAGTCACTATGCGATAGATGTGTTAGTGTTGGTGATAATCGGTTGAAAAATTTGTAGCCAGATAAAATCAGAACTTCAGTACGTTCCAGCAGAAACTTTTAAGCAAGAAGTCAGATGTTCTTTCTTCATGAAACGTCGATTTAAATTGGAGGGTTCGAATATGATTCGAATAAGATTTTTCCCTCTAAAATTATACATCTGACTTCATACTAAAATCTTCTTGATCATATCCATTGTAAATTACACTTGAAATTGATTTTCATCTGATTTTGTCAAAATTTTTTGTATGGAGACGCATATTTATATATTGTCATCATTTTGAGTAGACAACCGCAGACATCATCATCGTCATTTAGCTCGGAAGAATTGCCAGGCCGTCGTCGGCCGTCAAATTCAACACAAGGAGCAAGCAGTGGACCTATTCAGGTTACAGGGGTTAGTGAATCTGTTGCATTTGTAACGAAAGCAATAGACAGAGTTAACACAAGTATATTGGTTTCTGTTCATTTCCACTAAAGCTGACAAATAAAATTGTCTCTTCGTCCGATTTAGTCAGGAAAGAGAGGAAACTAGTATACAGACTTTATCGCATAGGAAAAGTTTTCTTTTTCGCTCAGCGGCAGCCGGTGGTATTTGTAATCTATTATTCGATGTATGGTCATATCGAACGCATGGCGATGGAAGTGTGCGCAGGTGTCGAGGCGGCTGGTTGTGAGTGTCGAATGTTTCAGGTAGCTGAAACGTTGTCCTCTGACGTACTCAACAAAATGCATGCAGCTGAGAAGAACCGCCAGGTGCCCATTATCAAAGTTGAACAACTTGCTGAGGCAGATGGTATCATTTTTGGCATGCCGACACGCTTCGGCTCGGCGCCAGCACAGATGCGTGCCCTATTCGATCAGTGTGGGGGCCATTGGAGGTCAAACGCGCTTATCGGGAAACCGGTGAGTTGCATTTTCGTTTCTCATCTTTCTTTAGTGCGATCTTTGTCTTTTATCTTCACTACAGGCAGGGATTTTTTTCTCAACGGGCTCGCTAGGCGGTGGTCAGGAGACAACGGCGCTTACTACCGTTACATTCTTTACCCATCTTGGTATGATATTTGTACCCCTTGGATACAAAAACAAGAGTCTTCAGAATCTTGACGAGGCGCATGGTGGATCACCGTACGGTTAGCTCATTCTCTACATCCATTCGCGGTTGACTTTCTCCCATTTACATTTTATTTAGGTTCTGGGACACTTGCTGGCGACGGATCCAGACAACCGACGCGGCTTGAACTGCAACTTGCGCAAACTCAAGGCAATGAATTCGGAAAAGTTGTCATAAAACTTACACGCTAATCATGTTCATTAACGTTTCCCTTTCTTCAAATTATTTAATTGTGTTGCTATTAGTAACGAACTGTTTTTTGTTCGTCTTAGGGTTTAAATATCATTTCGTTTATCCTAAATAATTTTGCTCGATGGTATCAAATTTTCAGAAATCGAAAATTGGAAAGAATATATATTTGAAGTTAGATCATTTTTTTTGCACTTGATAATTTGGCCAATTGTACATGTGATATTTCGAGGATGTGCGTTTAGCGAAAAGAGATTCAGCGAACGGTTCTTGAATAGAAAAGCTTGTTATTGCAACCCCTTTGAAACTGAAATGTGGAATTTATGTATATCCTTTTGCTTCTCTAAATTAATGTAAAATAGCTTATGTGAAAAATCAATGTAGGTATATTTTGATTTTATGGATTTCAATCTCCATACGACGCGTTTCTATCGACACTTAAGTCGATCATCATCAGGTAGGTTCAAAAATCATACAGACTAAACAACAATCGTTTAGATAAATTGGAAGTACATCAAGTCATTCCTAACTTCTATAGCATCTGTCTATAGCTTCTCTCTATATATGGTAACTATCTGAAATGATGTGGTTCACACAAGACTCGTATAAAGCAGGATGTTTCCAGCAGCTTCTTCTCATTGTTACATGAAACGCCTTTCATCTTTCTTCAACTGATTTCAGCTTCTCGAGCTTTTTACGCTTATCATGTTTTGTTATTGGGTCGTCACGGGCGTGTTCAGAAATAAGAGAGATATCGAGGAAACATTGAAAATAAGGTTTTCTCACGAAAAATGCAGCCTATTTCGATTTTACGACGATTCATGAATGAAGCACGCAATCAATAAAGTTAAGGTGTAGCCAATTCGAAATTTGAGCAAGAATTTATTTCAGCGATATTTTAAGATAGTTGGATAGAGCTCGTCGACTTACCCCTAAGTTTGTACTTCTAAATATTTCCAGGTTGAATTTTCTGTCAAAAACAAATTTGAAAAACTTTTATATCAAAATAAGGTGTTTTTTTCCCTCGGCTATTGATGATGCAGTGGTATGTGATTAGATTTAAAACTGTTGTTAACTTCTGAAAAGTTTTTCTTTGAAGCAGCTAACCATGCTGGATTACAAAAAGAAGTTAGAATTGATTGGCAAAGTGAATCGGTTGGACAGAGCTGTCATCCTGAAAATGTTTGATAGACTGCAAAGGAGCACCTTACAAATACATCAACCCTCCACAGATGCATCTTCCAATGGTTCTTTTTATTTCATTACAACCAGGATGCGTATACGAGAAAAGTCTGTATGGGTTTTGGGCCACGTTCTTTCTTCGCTGAGAAATGGCAATTTTTCTCGTATGAGTTATTCCGTATACGTCATGACCACGTATTGTAGAACTAGCTAAATAAAATATTATAAGATGATGCTCGAGTTATAATATTCTTGTAGAGAGCAGCGATCTGAACAAGTTTGAAGCGAACCTTTCGAAAAAAATTGCATCTGTTTTCTTGCTTTGGAACCTTTCCTAGCATAGTCGGCTTGAAAAATTGATTTTAATTTCGGCTTTTCTGTATTTATGCATGTATTCAAAGAGAATATTACAGAGCTCGTAGTCTTCAGAGGAAGACACTTCATGAGCTAGTCAGCAGCTTCTGGGACTTATTTTTTCGGGATCTATTGGAATTTTTAAATAAGTTCCGGTATTTATTTCTGTGTTGGAATTTATTGAAATTTTTGAATAAATCCTGGGACTTATTACTCTGTTGGAACTTATTCAAATTTTTAACGAAACGACTCATGTATGTTTCTATTGTTTGAGGCAGTAGAAGCTTTAAAAATATCTTGTTATTTATTTTAGTGTCAATCAGAGTAGCATTCTTTCAATTGTTGTATTATTGAGCAGCCTTCTTGGATCACTGATTGAATATTAGTTGAGTTTCTATGCATGCATATATTCTAAAAGATTTCTAGTATTTAAATCTGTCGATATGAAACTTTGAATTCTCGAAATAAGGTGGTTTATCTCTCGACACATGACTACTGATAAAATGATATATATATATATAACCAATACGTTGAAATTCCAATAGGAATCATTCATAGGAATATATAAATGTTGATTGGGACATATATAACATAAAAATACAAGTATCGGTAATAAATTCATTAACAAAGAATAATAGTTCTTCAATATGTTTAAGCAAATGCGTACCAACTATTTCAAGTATTTAGTGTTTTTGTCTTTTAGCTAATTGCTCTGCTTGTGTAGCCCATTTATTTATGATATTTGGTGATCGGTCTCTTTTACTTTTTTGTTGTTGTGTTGAATCAACAGCATGAATGATTGTTGCCCACTTATTATCAACATTACTCGTAGTATTCGAAATAAAATTTTCAGATGATGAACGGTTATTAAATTGTATTTCTTTTGACATTTGTGCCCATTTATTTTCATTTACTGTATGTGATGAAGGATCATGTTTTGTAGTTGCTGCTTGAGAAAGATAACCATCACTATTACTAGATGATACAGCAGACGTTGTTCGAAGTGTATTAGCCGCATGTGGAAGACTAATAGTTGCTGAATCAGGCACCATATTTGCCTAAAGAAATTTTTGTTATATATTGATTCGAATATGTTGTTCTTTTAACTTACAATGTCAAAATGCCTTGTAGGGCGTACTTTACAAGTCCATAAATTTTTATAATGAAAAAGCACTAGAAGATATAAAGGTGCTTTCAGCCAACCAAGACTACTAATGATGGGTGCGTAGCGTTTCAACCAAGAAAATAATTGTTCAGCCGATTGAGTATTGATCATATTCAAATCTAAAATAATTAAACCATGCACTCTTTCAAAATGTTTTAAACTGGATATGGTCACTGAACACTAATAAGAAGCTTAATACTTCTATAAAAACGTGAATCTTATCAACTTCATCTACAGAATATTCGATTTATGTGGAAGTTTGAAAAGAAAAATCTATCCAGATACACATTTTATTGCTACTAATGGATGGCATCGCTTGTTATTGAGCTAGTCCCATTCTAACTCTTTCAAAAGATCACTTTACCTGAAGTTGCATATGGAGACATATTTTCTTTGCACCAGGTTCCAACGTGATTTTTCCAATGGGCTTTATCAATATAAAACTTAGTATTTTTAAGTGTATTTGAAGCTGGTGTATCAGTAATAAGCTTCCCAACGTGCCTCTGTACAAACCGGACGAGATGACAACCATCATCATAACACGCTATTTTTGGTAAAGCATTATCACTAACTAAAAATCAAAAGAGACTCAATATTATTTGAAAATATAGTTATATGGTCATATGGAAACTAACTTCGTATTGTATTTATTAATAACTGAATAATTTCTCGTAACGTCTCGCTTCTGAAGATTTCAGAAAAGCTTATAATTACTCTACAGTTTGTTACCATTGCTAAAAGTCCAAATGAGCGAGAACATTTATTAATATACGATTCTGATCTGGCCTTGGTTGTGCTACAATTAGTGGCACCAAAAAAAAATTTTTTTTGTCGTTGCCATTGTCGTGAGTTACGTAATTTCATGGCATGAGTATGTTTTTGATTAGTTCTTGGTGCTTTAGTTAATTTTTCATCATTTTGGTGTAATTCACAATATAGTGAATTACGAATAGGAGTTCTCCAACATCCAATAACTAAAGGTTCACTGAAGTCACTGCTTTTGAAATTCACTTGTTTTGAACGACAAACTCGTCTTCGTGCTTTTTGGTGACCATCTATAGTGAAACAAGCTGAACATTTATCACCAGGGATATTGCAAGCACCAATAAGTGTTCTATGATTTGACCATAAATAAATGAACCGTGATAAAAGACGAGGATATTCAGACCATGCCCATAGATCAAATTCATCAATGTCTTTTGGAGTAGCGACATTTGTGCTGCCCAAACATAGATCCATTTCTATAATTTTATAGGTAAATACTAATTGTGAAAAACGACGCATGTTGAATGGAGTTGCTTGAGATCGAGCAGTGCTAAAGGCAAGATTATTAAGACTATCTGCTTGCTTTTGCCAGGAATGCGGTGTTGAAACAAGATCAGAAGTATATCGTTCAACAAGCTCTCTTTCACATGCATAATCTCCTCCTAAATAAATATAAAGACCATGCTGAATACTTAGTGATGTGTAATTTCTTATATTTTTTTCTTGAATATAATTTGGATAAATACGAATAGGACCATTAACATTTTTTTTATGATTGTTTGAATGATCACATTGTAGATAATGAACCACACCTATTGGAAAAAAATGTCATCATACAATTGGAAATACATCTCCATATAGATGTTTATAATATGAAAAATGGGTAGTTTCTCTACAAATCTATATTTTAGTAAAACAAAAAGTTCTGCGAACATTGTAAATATTATTTTCTAATAGACTTGGACAATACAAATGAATAGTCAAACATAGTTATGCTAGTCATCCACTTTTAACAAAGGAAATGTGTATTACTAAAATCAGACAATAGAACAAACAGTAAAACAACAGATAAAATTACATGAACTACAAAATATTATGTATATGGATTGCGTGGTTCAAATGTACTAGGGACCACTTCACGAGGTGTCGGTTGTTTGTATTGATAAATCTAGTTTGTATTATTATATTCTATCTTTAGCATTATCATAATCTATAATGCTTCGATTTCAGTTAAATATTAAGATTCGCTACAATTATTGAAGAATCTCAAAATAAAATGTGAATCTGTGAGAGTTCTAAATCTAGACATGCTGAATGTTTCGTTTGATATCAAATATGTTATTTGATACAATTAGTCAAGTCTAGTATTGAAGGTGAGGAAATTCTATATTTAGATTTTATAGAATCGAATAATTGATAGAGAATCCTTATGATACCATCGAATTCATCGTTGCTGAACCTATTTTTCATCAACATGAATTTCAAGTATATCCTGTAGTTTATCAATTGATGAAAAGATTGGTTGAAAACTCTATTTTTATACTAGGTCCTTCCTGAGTTTCTTTGTGAAATGTTTTAATATGGTGTTTCTTTATTTAAGATATAGTAATAATATTTTTTCAGTTCCTCTTTCGCAATGACAAGGCTAAATAATGAAAATCGGTTATCTTTGATAAAACAAAATGTTCATAATTTTCCAGCTGTAAATCAGATTGTAACTAAAAAAGAATAACAGCTGCTTTTTTTCATTAAAATGGGGTTCTTCAATAAAAAAGAGTCGCATGTTCATCGACGTTTTCTGGTATATTCATCATATTTTATATTTCTTTTTATATATAGAGAGGAAGAGTCGTCAATAAAACTGATCAATTTATCTCAAAACCTTACAGTGAAAGCTTAAGATGCTATATGAACGAAGTAAGAATATTGAAAGAAGTAAAGAATCAGAAGTATTTGCCAACGATATAGCTACATGATACAAATTTAGACTGATTTGATATTCCTATTGTATCATGAAATGTTAAAGTAAAGAGTAAAAATACTCACCTTTTATAACTTGACCGTTATTTTTGTATATGAAAACATTTTTCTTATAAACATGATCACTATTTAAAGTACAATTACATAGTGGACATTGTTCCGTAAATGGCTCGATGGGATGAGCTTGTGCATGTGACAGTAATATACTGTCCAAATTAAAGGTAGGTTTTATTTGTGGTGTATTATGTGGGTTCGAGAAAAATGAAATAAGAGCACGAACATCGGATTCATTATGCTGTGTATTGAAGATTTGCCGTAGATTTTCAGTTATGAAGTTAATACGAGTTGGATCCAGTTTTGACAATCGAACATTTAAATCAAGAATAAAAGAAATTTCCGACGGATGAAATAGGCGATAGAAATTTATTAAGACTTGCATATCAAATTCGCTTGTTCGAGACGACATATTTGAAACAGGCAATTATGAATGAAGTACGTGTAAATAAAGGTAAATCTATTATTTTGTGAAATAAAGAGGAAAATTAAGAAAAAAATAGCATGAGTGTTTGTTTATGTTACAGTTTTTAGACAAAGCTATATTTTTGAGAAATTGGAATATGCATATCTTGATCAAAAGGTATTTGATCAAACTACAACAAAACCCTGAAGACGCAGAAAAACATGTAATTTCTATAGAAAACTTTAGAATTATATGAAGGCAATACAAAAATAGTATAGTGTATTAATGAGAGTAGTCTTGTAACAACAACATAATCCAAAGTGATCTTTTATTAAAAGAAGAATAATTAATTTTTATAGTTTGTGAACAAAAGGTTTATATAAAGAGAATATATCTAATTGGGCACATGTATGCCCATAGGTGCAGTTGTTTGTGTCGTTACACCATTTAATGTTCATGTTTTTTTCTTTTTGCTTCTTTTTCGGGCTAAATACTGCCTAATATCTTCGTCAGTAATGGTGTTTCCAACACTAACTTTTAACGTAGATAGATTTTGACTGCAAGTGATTGTATTAACACACGTTTGAGTAAATGCCTCTATTGTCTTTATGGCCATTGTCTGAGTTTCTATAGAAATATAAGTCGTCGTGTCTACTAGTGAAATTTTGTCAGTAATTAAAGGAAGTATGGATTCTTTGATAAAGGTCGGACTTTGATTGTTATACGTTCCAATATTTGATAAATTTTCAATAGCATTATATGAACATTGATCAAAAGACTTAAGCAGGATAAAAAAGTGAAGATGGAAATGAATGAATAATATTCTTTATAATAACAAAAACCTCACCGATGATGCACTTAGTGACACAAACGATGCCTGATATAGCTCACTTTGTTGGAAGAAATGCTCCTCTTCAAAATCGATTTTATGATCGGGATCGATTTGTTCTATTTTTCCTATATTTTTATGTTCATTAATATCAAGCTTCATCTTCTTTAATGACCGACATGTATTGATTAGAATGTCATGATCAATACCATTCAATATTATCTAGAATAGAACAATAATGGAGAGTAATTTGACATCAATGTTATCTTTTGGTGTATACGTTGGGTTTTATTGGAGTTTCAGGTGATATAGCGTTCATAGAACGTTTGTGTTGAAAATTTTCTGTAATTTCATGCTCGTCATGAAACAAATGACTAATTTTCGCCGTTACACGACCAATCATCTAGAAAACAAGGTTTCAATAGTGAAAACGAAACATATCCTTTTTTAATAGGCGAATATGCAAACAATAGAAAACTTTCCAAAAAGAACAGTTAGAAATAGAATAGATGCATAGCACTAGTTAGAAGCCAGCACTGTTATTCAATACTACGATAGGTCTTGCATTGAATATTGTGGTATTTTGATGCTGTTAACACATAGATTTATTTTCACTGTAAATTGATTTAAAAACTTGGTTATTGAGTATTGGCGAGGTCCTCAATGTCGATGCATATAATTGACATTTGATTCTAGAAAGAAAATTTGACATAAAATGCTTCTTGAAGAAATCAATAGCATTAAAATAAATGACATGTGAAAATTTAGAAAATATGTTTGAAGTATTGCACAAACTATTTAAGTTGTTCAATCAGAAATTATTAAAATAATGGCAGTGTTTATTTCTAAAAGATTCATATTTTATAATAAGTACATGAATGAACTCTGAATATGTCATTGGTGAAATATGTTTTATCGGCATAAAAATTAATATGGCAACTGATGACATTCTAGTCAATAGAATTCTAAATATCTATTAAACGATTGTACGTTTATAGAATAATTTGAAATATGTCCGAGTAAAATTAAGTTATTGTTGAGATAGACTAATGATATATGTATTTATGATTGATATGCTATTTTTTATATTATATAATTCGTTAAGTATACGAAAGATTGTGAAAATACAAAAAAAAAGAAAATTATTAGAGTATTTTATTTTTATCATTATAGGATGTATAATTGTTTTTGAAAAAGATTCAGATTATTCCGATATCCATGTTATACGTCTACATTCAAAACCCATTAGTTATTAGCTATTCTACTTTTATTGAATAGTAACTATTGTATACAAAATTGACTGCAAAATGTAACATTATACTTTGTTAAGTATGAATGAGTATAGTGCATGATACCAGCAATGCTCTTTTGTTTTCATATATCTGATTGAAAAAATCAGTAACTTAGAACATTTCTAAATTCATAACCTCCAATGAATAGACTTCAACAACTATTTCAAGTAAATTTGTGATCTTTCTGTAAATTGTATGGAATCAGTTTTATTACTAACTTTGTATTTATCACTTTTAACACAGAGTTTGAAATAGTATTCATGGTTGATAATTTTTGAAGTGATAGAATCGAACACATTATTGTTGTTCTAAATAAAATCATACAAATAGATATACATATATTCAATACCAATGATTTACATTCATCATATGAGTGAGCATTTCCGCTGCTGGTATGCCAAAAAGTGCTTCAGCCTGTTTATTGAAAATAATAACAGGTTGTGTAATGGAATTATCAGTGACTTGTATCTAAATAGAAAAGCTCATGGGTGTGACGATTAATAATCAATTATCATAGTACTTTACCGTTGTCTTATAGCCCCATTTAAAAACATCATATGTTTTATCACATTTAACACAACGATATTGAGTATCGCTGATTTCAATTACTTTCTTGGTGCAAGTATCAACAGGACACATCTATTCGAAATGAAAAAAGAAATGAACTTTTATCAGAATTTCTGTTGCATTTACCTTATAAATGAAAGAGTGCTTGTCGACTTCTGTGCATATACCTTTGATAGAAAAGTAAATAGTTTTCGATTGATTCGAAACATATTCAATTATAGCTTCGGTAAATGTTTTAATTGATGCTGAAAATAGTAAATTGAAATAGAAATAATTCGGAGAAAGGTTCAAACCTTGCTGAGTAGATACTTGTATGATGTTTGAAGTTGCAATTTTTCTCGTGTCTGGATGTTGTTCATGGAACCATCGTTTTAGGTGTTCGGTTCTTTCTGTATCAAGTGGGTTAATTTTAAGATTTGTTTTTGATGTAGTCGAAAGACTTCGACAGCCATTAAAATCATGTACTTTAATAGCCTTAAAAGCAATAACAGGATTGCTTTTATCATTGAAATCTCTTGCCTAAAAAGGATTAGATTGTATGAGGCTTACAATATTAACTTAGAAAGCTTGTTGTTCACGTACATGATCTTGCCAAAGAGTAACAGATATTGAACCTGTTTCATCTAAAATACTTATGATCCGTGTAGCATAAGATTTTTTATGGGTTTTATTGGTAACCATAGTTGGATCACAGACAAGATTAACTATACCGATGACGTCTTCGAAATAGAATAATAATAAGTGAATTTGCATAATAAAATGCTCAGAATTTTGTCTATGTTGAATATCAGTTTCAAGTGATAGGTAAACAGTGATGATTAACTTTCAGTGTTATGAACCAAAGAAAGATTATCTACTATTTATGCATGCTAGTTGCAAAGAGTTCATAATAAAGCATTTTAATACTCAGTAAAGTAACTACATTATGAGTAGAGATTATATAAAGATTAGTTGCAGAATATCAATAAATTTTAAAACAATAATCAATAACTATTGTGGTGCTTAATCCCTTCAAAATTTTAGTATATAACTCAAGGGGGAAACAGCTGATTTTTTTGATTTAAATCAAAAACATCAAAAAATCAGAAAAATCAATGAAAATAATAAAGTTTTTAATCGTTGATCTTCAAAACATCAATCTAGGTTGAAATAGCTGAAATCTGATTTTTTTTGATTTTCTTGGCTTAAAATCAGTTGGTTTTAGATTAGAGAAATCAAGAGAAAAATAAAAAAATCAAGAAAAAAAATAAAAACAAGAAATCAAAAAATCAAGAAATTAAAAAAATCTGATTTTAGCTGTTTTCCCCTTGATATAACTGCAATAATGGTTGGTTGTATAAATAAAGCGGTCTAAGGTTATTCATTAAATTTTTAATAAAAATAATCAAGATGTCTATTTTACAAGAAGCTTGCTGACATTTCATACTGGCAGAAAAGTCAGGATTTTATTGGCGAAGCTTTTCGTAAGTAAAACAACTATTCGTGGTGATCCAAATATAATTTATTAGATAAAAAGAAATGTAAATTTCAAAATCTATAGTAATAACGGATGTTGTTGAGCATGATTTATAGGAACTTGGCAGATAGAGTCTTAGGAGGTAATCAGAATTCTGTTACATGATTTACCTAAATAAGCATCCGACTGTTGCATAGCAATTTCATTGAGTCGGATAAAATTATATTTTGATATCGGAACATGAATGAAGTCATCAATAGAGGTATGACTGACACTAGTCTGTGATGTGGCAATGATTTCATAGATTGACGACAATTTGTTGTATTGCTGATTTGCCGGTTTTACACTAGCATTTGCCAAAACATAGACCTAAATGAGACATATATATACATGAAAATAGTGATACTTCAAGAAGAAAAGACAATAATTGATTTACTAGAACTTTACCTGCCCTATTTCGATGATGGAAAATAATCGACTACACTCATTGTTGAATGCTGTGATTTGGATTTCACCTGTACTATCCTGTAGATCAAATGAAAATAATGTACCTTCACCACGAGAGTTTTTGTAATGGTGAACATTGCTTTTATTCGTAACGATACCCTTGATTGACCATCTTGGTACAAATAAGAAAAAATAGTAGCGACAACGTGTGAAAAATTGATATTTCTACCCGTTATTATATTGATTAATTTGAGCAATTGCTATAGGCATTGCATGATCAGATGGTTTCAATATGGACTCATCATTATGACGCTTAGCATCAAAATAATTCGTAGATGAAGATTTTGGTTGAACAATATTTCGGTTGATTGTTGACAGTGACTGTAAAACATGCGACGTCATTTGAACGTTTGATTGTTGATACAGTTCAGCATTTCTAGAATTATGATCAATTGTGCCAGAATTGGTCTGAACGATATCAACATCGTTGATAATTAGCATGGATCTATTAAAAAATTGATTGAGACATAGTAGTAGATTAAATAGATATGCAGAAAAAAACTTCGAAAAATGATAGACAAATTAAAGCTAATAATGATAAATAAAATATATGAGTCGATGCTTATAGTGCAAGATTGATATTAGTGTCAAAAAAAAAGAATATTAGCTAGACATGTGTGACAACATACTATGTAGACTAATTACGTTCAATAACATAACGTTTTTAAAACAAAATTTCGTATTCAAAGTTTTTTTTCATGATTTGATTTAGCCTTGATTTAACTATTATTTCTAACTTTTATCGTCAGATTTAACTTAAGAGATGGTTTCGTTTCCTACGAAAGATTTTTTTCTCCATGAGTTAAGACATCTAAATTGAAAAAGATAGGCTGAAGTGTGTTTTACCTATTTGTATTATCATCAACCATATCAAGAGCTATGTCTTTGATATAAATCAATGTGTTGGCTTTTATTAAGGCTGATTCAACTAAATGATTTAAATCCGTATTCAGAATACAGGCTATAATTTAAAAAAATGGTTGAATGACAATATATGTAATAGTGGTTTTTGTATTAACATACATGAGCAGGTTGATGTTGCATCAGCTATAGTTATACGATAATGAACTAAGTTGCCTTCATCACACTGTCGATTCTCAATGGCTTTCAAGTCCTGTAAAAGAAAACAATTCGTCTAATAATATGTGAAATATTTAAAAATATATAAATTTTGACAAACCGTAATCTGTACGAGTGCTTTTTTGCGAGTATCGCCTTTAAGATAATCCTAAAATTTATCACTTGAAAGTAAACTAATGAACGTCAGTCTGGCAGTTCAAAACGTTAGAGCATTGTCCGAAAGTTGGATTTGATCGAAGTTCATCATAAATTGATATGATAGTCAATGCGTGATTCTAAATAAATTAGTGATCAAGTAACATTATTAGATGAAGTGCGAATGAATCTTTTCTGGCTCAGAAAAAAATTAAAAAGAGAGTTAAGGAAGTAGTAACTACATGTTTTAGTCCATATAATCGAGCAGCATGACAATATATATTATATGAGCAGAGCAATAGAGAACAATAAAACAATATTCTTTATTCTTATTCTCTTGGTGAAATTTGTTATTTATATTGACAAGAGTAAGTTAAATGAAAAAAACTCCATGTGATATAAAGATGAGTATCGTATGGCCATGGCAGACTTTTTCTAAATTTTTGATTTGCTTTCCTAGGATTGATTGCTATATAGTGTATTTTATGTAGGCTGTTACTAGTATGAAAAACAAAAGAAATGTAGATGCTGTTCATTCGTGTAGCAATTTATATACAGAAAAAGAAAATACATTCTTTGCAGTAGGTTCGATCATTTGGATAAATAAAGAAATGATTAAGAGTGTGCAATGTTCATATATTTACCGAGCGTGAACAAATAAATAATTAGAGGACTGAATTGTTGCTTCATAGAAAATTCCCTGGGGAGTGACAAGGGAGCTCTCGCTGAAAGAAAAAAACTCCCCGGGGAGTGATAAAGGAGTTCTCCAAGAAAGAAAAAAAACTCCCCGGGGAGTACCAGGGGATTTTTCTTTGAAGGAAAAAATTCCCCAGGGAGTGACTAGGGGATTCTACCAAATGAGAAGAACTCCCCGGGGAGTGTCTCTAGATGTAGATTCGTGTTAGAAAAACTTCCTAGAAAAGTTTCAGTGAATTAACTTATTTAAGTGCATAAATGATTTAGATATAAATATATATAGGTAATTATGTATGAATGAAAATTATAGAAGATTGGTGATTGTACAATTTTCGAACAAGTTGAAGAAAAAAACTCAAGGAATACATAGTAATCTTGTAAATTTTTTAGAGATATATGAAGAACAAATCAATTTATAGGAAATGAAGCAATTATTGTGTATGAATTATAATCTATATTAGCGGTGTAAATAGGTTGAACAAAATATTTAGTGAAAATTAAACATATTGTCAGTGGAGTAAATTTCAATCGATTAAAACCAATCTTCTATGTTAAGCAATATTGCATTGTATAAAAAAGGAACCTGAACATTACAATTATAGAAATTACCGAAAATATAATACATGGAAACATAATCAGCATCACATTTCAGCATTTGATATTCATAGCAATTGTTCATTGTTGTCATTACTCATTAATGTATAGCAGTGTTATTCATTTGAGTATGTATATATATGTCGTAGGCCAATCTAAAATACAGGCCAATCTTAAATTGGCCTAGGCCAAACTAAAATTTGAGTTTCGACTAGTTCAATCTAGAATTGAAGTTTGGCCTAGCTTTTTTCTAGGCNTGGCCTAGAAAAAAGCTAGGCCAAACTTCAATTCTAGATTGAACTAGTCGAAACTCAAATTTTAGTTTGGCCTAGGCCAATTTAAGATTGGCCTGTATTTTAGATTGGCCTACGACATATATATATGTCTTATGCAGGTAAATGAAACATTATCGTATTTCTTTAAAACATTAAAAGTCAAGTATTAATATTTTTCTGCCATGGTATTAAAGCTAAAAGGTAAGAATTTGTTGAATGAAAGATTGAAGTATAATTATTTGTGTTTTCTTGAAATTGTTATGAAAATTTCATTGTGTATTATATATAGTTGTTAAAGAATGCCCTGAAAGTACTCTTAGTTGTGTTCATATTCTTGTCTATTTCACTGCAAATATGTGTTTGATATTATATACAAGGATTGCAAAAATGTAGTATCAGTACCCTCTCTTCTTCTGCTGAAATAATCATTTGTACAAAATATAGTTCAAGTTCAATGTCATGAATTTCTACCAATTAGTTAAAATCGAAAAAGTACAAATAGTTTTTACTATCTATGTTCTTTTGATTATTCCTTGTGTTGAGTTAAAAGAATGAGATATGGATTTATTAACATATTTAACTATTGTTAGAATTATAGACTTTTGTGAACATATCAGTGACGTTGCACAATTAGGTCTCTTCTTGAATAATAGTATTAATATATTTGAACCATAGGTAAGTTAAAAATAAAGAACTTTTCTCTGAAGTATTATCATGTGGAACTTTATTCTCACATAGATATTTTAAAGATCAAAATTTTCTTGGTACATTGAAGATTAAAAAACAGATATGTAGGAACTGAACACTGAATATGTAAGTTTTATTGCACTGTTATGAATACACAAAAAAAAATAGAATCATCACTATTGCTCATGTTTTCCAAAACAAAAAAGGTTGTGGTGATTTTTATTGAAATCGAAATATTTGTTAGGATAATTATATTGAAATTATTAACCTATATAAGTTTCTATTAAAAAGAAAATAAATAATACTTTTACCTTGTTTATTTTTTTTCTTCGTGACATAGTTGAAGATAAGATATTATTATATAGCCGACTATAAGTTCCGAATTGACTTGTACTTTTTCTTGCAATAGTAAAATTGAATGATTAGAAAAAAATGTGTTGCTTTTGTGCTTTGATGTTTAAAAATTGAATATATTCACTATGTATATATGTGTAAAATGATTAAGATATGCAAGGATTATGCCATTATAGCAGAACGATTATTTTTGTATTGAAGTTATAGTTTATGAGTTCATTGGTGTATTTGAGAATAGCATACATATGCATGTCTTTGATTCTATTGTTAAGCGTACAGAACGAATTCTGCATAAATAAATAATAATTCGAAATTTTTATTTATATTTGTTTGTGAATTATTTTACAGGCATGAATATGATTGATTACTGTTCTTTCTAGTAAAAATCTTCGAAATCAATATATATATATAACAACATGCTAGACTTTGATATGTATGTGACAACTATTTTCAACATATTTGATTTTTAAATGCTATTATTTCTATGTTGTTTTTGTTGTTATTCGTATTGTAAATGTATCATGTACAGATAAATAATGAATCTAAACATAATGAATGTCCTCACCATTAGAAGAGGATATAATGATCTGATATTGATGATGATCATGAGTTCCCTTTGTTAACGTTAATAAAACTAATTAAAAGCTGTTTATCCATAGCAAAATTGAAGCAATGTAGTAATTAAATAAAAAAATATGAGTGATATGCTTTTTATGATATGAAGCCTCTAAACAACTTTTTAAACTATGGGAAATTTAATTTTTTTTGCTATAGATTGACAAATTTTGTTCCTTATTGTTACTATTTGATTATATCATATTTTCTTTTTGTAGATAATTCAAAGATATACAAAGTTGTATGTTAAACTACGTGTTGTTTAAAAATCTTATTGACAATCAGATAATTATGATGCATTTCGATAAATGCATTATCGAAAATGACCGTGTAAGATGCACTTGTGGTGGTAAAGTTTTCAATGGGGTGTTATTAACTGTCGGTAAGTCGGGAAATTTTTTTGTCACGATAATAAGATTGATAATCTATAATGAGATTTATTTTAAAGGATCCGAAGCTGTGTGCAATCATGTTATGACGAAAATGAATGGCATTTCAACTGATACTCGAGATTCATCTGTATCAGAAAAATATAGTGAAACCAGTGATGCACACAATCAGTTAACAAAACGACAAAGTACTGAGAATAGGAGTATATCATTCATGGCTCGATTTATGATTATGCTTCGGTTTCTTTTTTCAATTGTAGCAAAAAGAAATAAGACAGAAAAATCTAAATCAAATTGTAAAATTTCAAAATAAATGATACCGGATTCTATCAAAGTGAAATTCAAACAAGTATGTGCACTGTATTGATGTATTACACATGATTGAGTAAGCATGAAAAAAAATCAAGACTGAGATGCTTTATAGACATTAATCTTCAAAGCTATTCAGCTACGAACGTCATAAACTAGAAGGCGGTGATAACGATGCTGAAAGTATGAGTTTTATGAGTATGAAAGTGGAACATTGGCCACCTTTGGCGCACTTTATTTGATGGAGCATTTTTAATCTGGCCAATTTTGAAATAAAATGTGCATAAAAATTGAATGTCGCTTAGATCAGTAAATAATCTATCGTAGATCCTTATAGTATTCGAATTAGTTTTGAGCCTTGATATGCGTACATCAATGTTGTTTTTCGATAGCCCATGTCCAACATTACGGTGACCGTAAACAACTCGTAAACGACCGTTAATCACAGTTTACGACCGTAAACGGTCCGTATTTCGCCCTTTTGGTAGGTGCCGTAATACGGTCGTATATGCATCGTGTCGTATACGATTACAAACGGCCAAAAACGGCCTGAAAAGGGTGTATTTGATCGTTTACGGCATGGCCATATACGGCCGTAATACGGTACCTACCAAACAAGTGAAATACGATTAAAAAGACGGTCGCTTACGGCCGGGCGTATTTCACCTGGGAATTGTTGAAAGTTTCGTGCATTTTTATCAAAATATTTAATGAGTTTCATCAGTGAAAAACGTTGTGGCGACAAAAGTCTTATTAGGTGAAACTGAGAATCGTACAGCAGGGACTGTTATAACTTTGACTTAATAATAATTTTAGTGATACTAAATATACTTTTTTTTATGTAGGTACAAATTCTGTTTCAGTAAATTTAACACCGGAAATCGCTATGAATTCATCCAGTATTGGTACAAACAGTGATACTGTGATTCAGATCATACAGGGTTTTGAAAATGACCAGCCATTGTTGCTACCAGATTGTATATTTTCCCAAATTTTGTAGTTTTTGGAGACAGAATAATTTCATTTTCTGTCTTTACATCCAATAGAGTCGATTTTCGAGATGGCAGGTAATGACATTGTTGCAACACCACCGAATGGACTTTTGTTTGGTAAGAATTTTTAACTTTCTTTAGTAAAAGGGGCACAGTTAATGTTCCTTGATTCAAGAAAGATTGTAATTAGATAGTCAAAAGTTCATTTCGTGTTTGCATTGAGAACTAGAATGCTGGTCTCGTAATTTAAAGCAAATTTGTACACATGCAATAGTCGTTTGCATTGTTTTTTTTATCTCGTAAAGATTCATTGTTATTCTTAATAGGTATGGAATTGTTGACTCTTTGAAATACGGAAAAAACATATTTAGAGAAGGTTGTTGTCAAATGAATAGATTTCTTTCACAGCAAATACAGTATCTTTGCTATTAGTAACATTTCTGAACTATTGTTCTGAGTGTAAGCCTTTAGCCACTCATGCAATTACTTACGTTGTGAAAAAAATATTTTTTTGTGAAGATATTTCAGGTAATAGAGAAGGTGAATGTTATCATTTTTTTATTTGAAATATAGCTGATCGTTTAGCCAGTATAGAAAATACAATCAGCAATTTGATTGGATACGTTCATCGTCTTGGAGAAGATATTGCCTCCATAGGTTCTCAGTTAAAACCGTTATCAGAAAGTATCAATATTATTCAAAATGTAGGTTTCAACAAAACTGTTGTTTTGGTATAGATTTGACTTTGTTTTTATCTTTTGTCCACTCCTCTAGCATATTTTGGCACAGATCACGCCAGCAAGTACCGTACAAGTTTCCTCAACTGTAGGAACTTCAATAGATGATTCAGCAGTATCTTCACTATCATCGAAGGAGGTTCTAGTAGGTGTAGTTTTTCTCCGCTATTCTTCCGATCATTTTGATTTTTGTCATGTTCGTAGGTATGTGTTAATGGAAATATGGCGCAAACGAAGAATGACTTGAAGTCGATCGGGTCGGCGTTACGACAACTCATAATGAAAACATATACACGTGCTGAAATATTGGACAAAAAACATCTAAATGAAGACGATTATCGGTTTAAAAATATTACAGGTAGTTACTTCATCTTTACAGTTACTTTTACAATGGAAGTAAGATGATGATAAGGTGTGTTTTATTTCGGTCACTCTTTGTTTATAGAAAGTATACAGTTAACTAGCATGAACGCTTTATGACGTCTCAAACATTCAAAATAAGGAAAATAGCTTAGACAAAACTTTCCCTCATGTGCTTTTGAGAAACTTTGATATTCTATAGTAACAAAGTCTGAGTGTCTAGTACATTTCTCTAACTTCATCTTTTGAACTGGAATCTTTGGTGTCTCATATCAGAAGGTATTCAGGGAAGGTGAAAGTAGTCACTTTTTGTTTTGAAGGTGGTTGTTTGTATTCAACACTAATAAAAGAGTAGATTCTTGGACAAGCACGTGAAACTCATGCAGGTTTTTCTAAATAAGGTCTAGCTTGAGCTGAACGCTGACAATAGATCGGTTCAGATAGAGAAGGGGTGTCGGATATACAACACGGCTTCGTCGAATCGTAAAAATTCTTCTCTTTTTTCAGGTGAAATAGAAAATTTCGTTGTATTTCGTTGGCAAAGATAATGTTATAGTCTCCAAAATTTTGCAAAAATACAATTTTTCTTCATAAAAGTTCGGTATACCCCTTGTTTAAAGCTAATAATGTCAGGGCATTCTTATATTTGACGAGAAGATGAGTTTCAAAAGAAAACATCAAAATTGAGAAACCTTAAACAAATGCCAATTTTCTTTTCATATCAATATTTGAATAGTTTTTATTTCAATAAAAACTTATCTTGAATTTTTTTTCTAATAGATGCTCTAAAAAACAATTTTGCATTAAACGACGTGATGATGGATGCATTGTCTCAAACTTTCAAACAAACAAGAAATCAATTGACAAAAGACGTTAGATACTTAAAAGTTATGAAGCCAAAATCTGCAACAGCTTTAAATGAGGATACTGTTTGCGGACAAGATGATCAACATAATGAAGGAACACCAGAAGAATCAAATAATAACAAAAATAACAGGAAAATGATGGATTAATTTAATAATGATCATATTTTAAATTTAGAGCTTAATGAACAGACTGTTAGTTTTGTGGCATTTATGTTTGATAGTATGAAGTTTGTTGAGTGGTTTTTTGAAATATCGAAAAGACTATTCAAGAAATAGGAACAACAGAGAAAGAAGAGCTGAAAATAGAACCCAAGAAAAAACATTTATGACTATAGTATTTAGCATTCGATAAAGAGTGCCATTGCGTGGTATTGTTGAAGATCTTTTTCAAGAGTGTGTCAAAGGGCAATTTTTAAAGGATATATATGGGTGACTTAGTTAAATATCAGTGGTTGTTTCGAGATTTTTCCGAGAAAGCGAATTTAAGTTCATATTTGTTACTTTTTTCTTCAAAGCTAACCAATACGTTAATATTTATATATGGTAAATATCTTTCAAGGTGCCTGATATTTAGAGAAAGTGGCTTTAAGGAGTTATATGAAATCCGTTACGAGGAATTTTGACTCGAACTTTGACTCTGAGTCGAAAACTAGATAGGATTGTCGATCTGGATCGTAATTCCTCTTATCGATTTTTTCTACAAATCCAAAATACAATGAAAAGTTGCACCCCTTGCATAACGGTCAGGTGTATGCATATAAAGTTTAATTAAGGCGTATTGGTCAACTGGATTCAATGGCACAAACAGAACTGCAGAGTGCTTAACAGTATGCCATTCTACTAAGCAGTGTGTCGTCTTGCTGTATACTATGATTTTCGAGATCGATTCGCAAACCGCTTAATCTGAGATTCTGGTGTTTCATTTTAAAACTAGTATCAGAAAAAAGTGCTAAAATCACTATTTATTTATTTTTCTAGATTATTAATATTTTTGAACAGATTTTGATTATATTAAGAGCAGTTGATTTATAATAGATATTTTAATTATTACATATATCAATGGCAGCAGGTCGTAATATCGTGGGAGCAGATGTATTCGATCAAAATTTAGAGCACGTGGCATTATTATCCAATGAATTATTGCCTAGTGAATACTTTACTGGTGGTCTAGCTGAATTTTGTCACCATGCAGCATACCATTGTGATATACATTCTATTTCTATGCCAATAATTCTGCTAAATGTAGCGGCGACAAGTACCGAGAAAAATGGAATATGGAGATCCAATACAGAAAGATTCCCATTGAATTTATACAGCCTTCTTGTAGGCAATAGTTGTAAGTAAACTAAACTGGTATCACAAGATTTTCCTATTTATCTTTATCAAAGTTTAAGGTTCTTAACAACTTATGTGAAGGATGCAGTATTAAGTGAAGGCAAGACACGCGACTTTTTTCGAAGAAGAAACTGTAGTAGAAAAGACTTACATCATGTCTGTGTCTACAAAACTATTATCATAAATGTTCTTAGAACGAATATATCTGAATAAGAACAAGAAAAAAGAAAGCCAAATTCTATTTATTGAGATTTTCGTTAGAAAAAATTATTCAGTTTGTGTTGCTGTTCAAGATAACAACCAGCATGATTTGGATTTGAAATATCTTTTGAAAGATAGAATGCAACAAATAAGAGAGTATCGATTATTGAGAATTTTCTTCAAAGCAGAAATCTTCAGAAACATATGTTTGACAAAAAATTGGGAATTTGCTTTCGATAAATCTAAAAAAAACTGAAGAAAAAGAAATTAAAATTGATTATAAATTGGTTTAGAGTCAAAACTGCTCAGCAATTTAAGCTGGTTCAAGATTATAGAATGAGACATCGTATCGAATACATTTCAAAAGGACACAATGAATACAAGAATGAATGATTGGCGTTCATTCGAAATATCCTTTGAAGAAAAGCCTTAGTGGGCACGCATTTGTCGAAAATGATAATACGAAGATATGATTTGATGACTTTTAAACGAAGCGAAATAAGAGAAGAAACAGAAAAAATTACTATTGAATGAGGCTTTCTACTTGACCGAAAAAAGTTATCAGCTGAAACTTAAACCAATTCTATATGATGCAATATCAAATAGAATATCATTCGAGAGAATGAAATGTATAAAAGAAGAAAGAATTCGTCTTTTTTAAATATCTTTTTGAAGAAAAGCGTTATTGAATATGTTGTTGTTGAAAAAAAAGTCGATGAAGATATTGTTATTGAGGTTAAGGAAAAAAATGAAAATAACGTTTGATAAAGAAATTCTTTTTGAATGAATAGGGTTGTTGGATGTATTTTGGTTCAGAATGATAAATTGAATATATCATTGCGTCAGCTTTTAGGAAAGCGAAATATGGAAATCAAAAAGAAATTGCTACTGTGACAGATTTATTTTTTTAAACGGATAGTATTTTGTGATATGATGAATTTGTTACATCCCATGTAAAAAAATTTAGGGTAGAAATCAGATTAAAATCTATTAAAAAATGATTGAAAATCGATTATAATCATACACCTTTAGTCAATTATAATCAATTATAATCAAAAATAATCCAAAAAACAAAATTTTCATCGATTATTCCTATTATTTTCGATTAAAAATTCATGAAAAAAATCAATTATAATCGATGCAAAGCGAAGAAAATTCATTAAAAATTTTGCCATTTTTCATGTACGAAAATCGATTATAATCAATTTTTTTCATGAATTTTTAATCGAAAATAACCGAAAATAATAGGAATAATCGATGAAAATTTTGTTTTTTGGATTATTTTTGATTATAATCGATTTTCAATTATTTTTTAATAGATTTTAATCTGATTTCTACCCTAAATTTTTTTACATGGGATGTTTTGCCGAATGACTTTTGTATCGAATTATAATACTGAAAATATGCAGTTACGATGGTTTTTTGTAAGAATTGATTAACTGAGAAAATAATTTCTTAATACATTTGGGGGATTCATTTAGTTGAAATAATGATATATAATAAGTTTTGATGAAAGGATGGTTTAGTCTAAGGGTAACCTTTTCAGTCATTGCAATTAGACAAAGTGAAGAAAGTGCAAAAAAGTTTTTAAGAATGAAGTTAGTACGAAAACGGCTCATAGTGGTCGCTATATTAGTTTTTCATGAGCTTGCGTGAGTGGCATATGTAGTGGCAGAATGTTATTCATTTGATACTTAATTATATATGGTTCTTTTTGTTCTTCAAACAGGTTTTGTAAAGAGATTCAAGGAGAGAAAGCGATGAAAAATCAGTATATGATGCTCTTCATGTCTTAGGTCGAATATCTTTATGATTTTGAAAGAATTTTACTTTAAATGTTTTAGATTTTTTTTACACTATGATTTAAAAAGTGATATTACGTTCACCTTCTTTTTAGCTTTTGGCAAATCAAAGCTGTTGCGGCTTATTTCACATGGACTTCATGTAATAATTAAAAGTCTTCCACACAAATTTCAATCCAGCTCAGATAACTTGAACAATAATTTTCCTGTTTATAATGATGCCACGTGTGCAGGAATAATAGCTTCAGTTAATGGTTGTACTCGAGTATTAATATCAGAAGAAGCTGATGTATTATTGCCATCAATTGGCGCGGTTTTACCATCGCCATTCATAAATAAGGATGTGCCTGCAGTAAAATCGGAAGCACGTGTTGAAATGATGAAAATGTTCGACGGCGATTTTCATATGAGAAAACTGAAAGGAGGCATTTGTAAAATTGACAGCTTTAAACATTCTTTTATAGTCAGTACATTTAGTTTAATAGAACATTTATGTATTCTTTTTATTTAGGGGGCGAGTAGTGGAGGAATCATTGTAACAGCATTACAGCGAAAAGCCAATGGTTCTCAGGTTGATGCGTTTTTTGAACGTCTAATGATTTGGTACTTACGACCACCACCATTGATGTTTGTGCCAGAGAGTGAAAAGAAAACGCCGGAGATGCAAAAATTTCCATCTTTTGAAGAATTTTGTATTATACTAGGATTATTCGAAAATTTGGAATTATTTTATGATAATGATAGTGATAGGAGGATGGTCGATTTTGGGAATCAGTACATAGCACTTGGTATGGGAGTCATTCCAACTAATCATTTTTGTTGAAATTTTAACATTGTTTGTTGCATTAGCATATAAACAAACTGACCGATATCTGATGGCAAAAATTGGAAAAACTGTGCAGCTAAATCATCGATTAGTTGGTTTGATTCAAGTGCTGGAGTGGAGCTGGAAAATTGCTGCTGAGTATTTACGAATATATGGTTGTTTTACATCAAGTATTTCTGAAGATTTTATATCAAGTGTACGTCAAATTTTTAAGGATTTGTACGGTGAATATAATGATGATAAACGTGGTTTCATGATATCCATGGTATCTGTTGAACATGGTATTAATATTTCGCAAGCTCTTTTGGAACAATACAAGATAATCATGCGTTTACCTGATGATCCTGTTCGTGGTGCAACATCAAACAATAATAATTTACAGTCAAATACAACGGAAAATTTCAGCATGAATATTAAATTGGAAAAATCGAAACTGAAATTTAGTGAACATGTTCGTGGCATCTTGTTATTCAAGTCAGTAATGTTTACATCCACGACATTATATAAATCCTGTTCAGTATTTCGACATCATTCAGAAAATGTTAACTCGGTTTTGCAAGAATTAGCCAAACGTGGTCTTATTATAGAATTTAAAAATGGTGTTGTTTCTGCAACGAAAAAGGCAACAGTATATGTTAAATGGTTTCCGAATATAAATGATACGGTGGAATGTCAACGTTTTGAGCAGTTGTTAGGAGAATTTAACGATGATCAACTTAGTTCAACCTCAGTTGTTAGTTGTACAACTACTGTATCATTATCACCACATAAAGCTGCTCCGAAAGCAGCTGTTTTGAATTATTTAAAGATTAGTCGATATGCTCGATTAAATCTTGATTTCACTGGACATACTATTGTATTAGAAAGTAATTATTCGTGATTCTTATGCTTTTGCAGCATTTAAGTGAGTATTTTTTTTATTTTAGATTCTCTTGATGCTGGTGCAGTTGATGAAGATTCTAATTGTAGTAGCGTTCTACTTGAAGGTAATTGTGCTTGAATAAACAGCAGTATTGCTTTGAATTATATTCTTCATATAGGTTCAATAAAAGCAAATGAGTTACCAATAGCTGAAGTATTTTGTGGTTATGAAAAGAACGTAATAAACTCAACAAATTCGTCTAGTGCTGATGACAAAGTCACACATGAAGAACCTATGATTATGTCAAATACCATTGCTAATAGGAGTACCACTATTCAAGAAAGTGTACATATTACTGATAATTCGCATTGCAGTCCAGTTGATTTCTTGTCAGAGCAAATATTGACGCATGTTGTGCAAGCCAGTAAGTTTCAAAAAGTATTTGGTGTTTGGTTTGCATTTATATCTCATTCTGATATCTAGGTGATGGTGGCAGCTGTTCGTCAAAGAGAAAAATTAGTGAACGAGTTCAAGAATTAAATGATGATGATGTTCCACTTCGAATACGGATTCGTTCTGTTCGCGATGGTATTGGTCATTAATCAGCTTTTTAAATATGATTGTACTTGTAGTAATGCTTAAAGATCTTGTATTACAAAGCTAAAAGAAAATTAATAGATTAAAATCATGTGATCATTATCAAAGATCTAAATTTTTAGTTAAGTGTAAAATGATTTAATAGATTCGCATGTCTATGAAGAAATTTATTGAGTAAAATATTAGTGGATTAATATGTTAAGTTTAATATTAGTTTTATATGAATCAATCGATTTGCCTTCCATGTAATTACGAAAATGAATTTAGTAATTTCTGATGATTAGCGACAAATATTTATTGAGATAAATTTTCTACCAGAATGATATTACGAATCATAGTTTTAGAAAAGAAAATATGTAATGGGAATGGTGATTTCTACAGTAGATATAGGGGAGGGGTGAGAAAAGGACGTTTTTAGTGATGTGATATTTAATCATATTGACGCTTGTAAAAAATTTACACTAATAAATCTAAGTATGGATCAATCTTGTTGTTTTTGAAATAAGTCCGCTGAAGAAATAATTGATCCGCTGCAGAAATAATTGATCCGCTGTGAAATTATTCTGCCAGGAAGATGTATATATTGATTATCTTGTGACATCATTATATCTGCAATACGTATTTAGACCCATCTACATGTTTGTCTAAGAAATTATTTTATATAAAGAAATTTGTATAACAGAGTTGAAGAAGTGATAAAACATGCATTTAAAATAAATGTGGTAATTATTAGCTATCGATTATTCTATGTAAAGGGTTTATTATGGATCTTTTATAGTATATTATCGAAACGTGTGAACTAAGAAGAAAAAAGTAAACAAGAATGCAGAGGGACTACCGGGACTTATTTTTTTGGGATGTATTGGATTTACTTTTAATTTGTTCATGTTCACATTTGTTTACGAAAATTACATAGAAAATTATATGTACCTGATAGCGTCAGACAAAAAAATCCGGGAGCTTTAAATAAATCCAATAAATCCCGAAAAAATAAGTCCCTGTAGTCCCTCACGCAGCTGATCATAGCACCAAATTTAAGTGTCCCTGCAAATTTTAAAATATTACAACCATTGCCAGTAGTGATGCTGACAATTTGACTTGGTTTTATGCCAATACTATCAAGTTCATATTTTATATAACGTTTGATTGAAACCGATAGATGTTGTCCAATCATTCTTCTACAACCGATTACTAATGGTACATGTTCATAATAACTAGAAAATGCATGAGCAGTAAGGGCAATAAACTGCACTTGCCTTGAAGGTGTGGATGTAATGGAAATATCTACACCCACACCTCACACCGTTTGTTTAATACTTTGCTGATCAGTGACACTAAACCTATCAGTGTGCACCGAGCGTCGCTGTCGGTGTTCAGTAAAGCGATGCCGCACGTACCTACCCATGTTCACACCTGGAAATTGATAGCATTTGTAAGAACTTAGATTTCAAGTGATTTTGGCGCCTACAGTTAGAAATTAGTAACAACTTGTCATCTCTCACTTGATGTTCTCCTCAAAAAAAGAACGCTTAAATGGCATAAACTTCGCTAAATCATGTAAGAAACTTAGTAATTCCTTATTTTAATAAATGTAGACGAATTGTGGTCTATGAGTTTGGAAGTGATTCATGAACAGTTCGGTTGATTTTAGATGAATTACGGTAGTTTTCTGCAATAGTAGATGTAATGGAAGTAAAAAACTGGGAATTTAATTTTAAGAAAGCATATTCGAAAAATTCATTCCCAGCGATCATATTGGGCTCCTTGCTGAAGATGACGTAGTGATGCTCGCGCAACAGTTCAAAAAAAGCATGTCTAGAGGTGGGATGATTAGGATGGAGCTCTACGAGGATCTGCTGCGGGACAGAGTTTGCTGCAGATGTCAAAATGGCAGGAAAAACTGAATACTCAGCACCTTCAATATCAATTTTCAAAATGTCAACTTTTCTTTTGTCGTGGTTCAGTTCTTTGATAATAGCACCCCAACTCTTAGAGCCGTTGGGATGAGTGCCGTTCCCAAAAGTAATTCGATGAAATGTGCAAATATCATTCGGGCACGTGTATTCGTTTTGATCAAAGGTATGAATTTCACAGTGTGGCATTGTTTTTTTCATATCGGTTTCGAACCCGAAATCGCCATTAGAGCCAACGCTGTAGACGAGACAATCGAATCGAAACTTCAATTGATAAGGATCACATACCCACTTTCCTCCATCACCCATTTGCCCGATGCGCCGGGCATGAGAACAATGGAAATTCGGTTCCCAATTCACGAGGAAGAAGATGCTACTGCGGTGTTTAACCATATTTTTCTTATCCTGGAGTTTGTAGACAATTTTTCGTTCATTCCAAAGATTGTTCGATTCGCAAAACAAACCATCACTTTCGATTAGTGATAAACTGCAATAGCTGGTGGAGACGAACGGCATTCGCCAATGAAATTGACCACTCCAGAAGAATATGATAAATGTTACGCTTAGCAAAACACATGCTCTGACCACCGCTACTAATGGAAGGTGCATTTATCAAGAACGACTGTTTAAAAGAAAAAATAATATCTTGAAATTAGTTCTTAGCGTGTAGATACTGTTTTTTTTGGTACTCGTTACGAGGAACACAAGACTACCATTCACACATATAGCGACACCTTCAACATAGCATCGTTTCCTGTGTTACCAGTACCCATCTTCGGACCCCACAGAAATCACAATCGATTCCTGTATGAGCTGCTCTATCGATAGAAGTCGACTTACCTAATTTCTGTATAACTTTGTACTCACTAAAAAAACTGTTTCCTAGAAAACTATAATCATTTCGAAAACCTGAGGGTTGGGTGTGGAGAGGGTAGAGATGCATGAGTACCGAGATCAAAAAATCTGACACAATATCTTGGAATACGGGCGAAATCTTACAAAAATCCTAGTTCCTGAGATCTCAGATCAATTCGCACCATCAGATTGTTGAAAGATCTTTTACACTAATACGATCTTTGAAGAATCTGATTGTTTGACCTGATCTAGGATCTCAGAAACTATGATTTTTTTGTATGGTTTTCGTATGATTGTGCATGATCATATAAGATCAGATGCAAGATCTTATCAGATCTTACAATATGATTGCTCGACCTGAGTATGGATGTGCAATGTCGGGATAAATACTGAAAAACTGATCACCGACTACAGCGACAGTGTGCACAGTGGAACACTGATTCCACTGACAGTGTGCTCAGTAGTGCACCGACTACACTGACGGCGTGCCTAGTGGAACGCCGGTCACACTGTAATCAGTGTCACTGACATTGACTTCACTGAAGCACTGATGATCAGTAAAATACTGACAAACCGACAGCTTTTAATTGACTGAAGTCTTTAGTCAATCAGAAAGATATCAGTGTATCAGTGTTTCACCGTGGAAGTGTCGGCGTAGTCGGTACTCCACTGGACACGCCGTCGGCGCAAGTCGGTGACCAGTACACCGGCATTGCACATCCCTATGCGTGAAGAAACTAGCTCCATTTGTACAGAGATCCACAACAACGCGCAACTTTTATCACGAAAATGTTTTCTTTTACCTCTTATCTTCTATACTGTTTTTACTTATAAAAAGGCTTTGCTCGGGTGGATAGAGTTATGCCGTGGCATGTATTTTAATCTATCAGGTTGATGCAAAAGTCTCTGCCAAATTTTTTTCTTTTCAATGTTTCAAAGTTTTATTGAAACGAAATATCGTTAATCAATAACATATACACCATTGTTGTCTACCACGTACTCTCATCTTTTAGGCAAATCCAGAATGCAATCTTCAAAAACTTTCTTGGACAAAGACGAGAATAAACTTTCCATGTCCGATTTTAGGTGTGCTTGATCATCAAAGTGTTTTTTCACCAGAGGATTGCGGAGCAACCGGAACAGGTGGTAGTCAGAGGGACCCAGATCTGGTGACTAAGTGGGATGGGATAAGATCTATAACCACAACTCTTTCAGCTTTTGACGAGTAATTTTTGCCGTATGCGGTTTTGTATTATCATGAAGTAATCGACCTTTTCGTCTATCTGAACGATCTGGTTGTATTGCAACCTGCAAACTTTGAAGCTGATTGCATTACAGCTTTGAGTCGATCCTGGTATTAGGAGTTAGGAGCTCCCAATAGATAACGCATTCAAAATCCCACCAGATTGATAACATAAGTTTCTTTGGGTGTAAATCATTTTTGGGTTTTGGTTAGGGCAAATCTTCAGGATTGACGCATTGACTCTTGCGTGTATGATTAACATACAGCATCCACTTTTCATCCCCAATAGCGATTTGCTGGAGAAATCTATGTCGATTGCGTTTTGATAGGAAAAATTGCATATAGTCATTCTTTGCTGTATGTCATCAGGAGTTAACTGGTGTGGTGCCCATCTCCCACGTTTATTCCCTTACCCATTTGATTCGAATGACGATCAATTGTCAATTGATTACCCCCAAGGACAACTGATAATTCGCGCGTTGTGAATCATGGATTGTCTTCCACTACGATTTGAGACGATCAATGTCAGATTCCAAAGGACACCCAAACTTCGAACAATCTTCCAAAGACATCTCTATCACGAAACATTTTAAACCAATCTCGACAAGTGCGATCGACAACAGTACCTTCGCTAACTGCAGCACATATATTGCGGGCAGCAAGACTTGCGTTGTTTCCTAATTGAAACTGGTACAGAAAGCTATGTTGAATCTGACTAGAAATCTCTGACATGGCTCAACACGCAGTGTAAATAAATTTGTACCCAGGTCAAAAAATCTGACAGCAGATCGTACAAGGCCTTGTATGTTCTTACGCATACAAGATTTTCTATATGATCTTATGATAAAATCGTATCGTATCTTGCGAGTTCATTTTTTGAAAGATTTCCTCAGATTCTGAATCAAAGATGGTAGCTTAGATCTTACAAGATTCAGAGGACAATAAACGCACACGATTCTTGGAGATGGCTCTTGTCAGAACTTATCCAATCAAA